ATAAACTGTAATAGTCACTTTTAAGGTGTACAATTCATTGGTTTTTAGTATATTCACAACCAGAACTTATTTTTAGCTCCTTGATCTCTATCACCCCTACGCTGTTACTCCCAAGATAATGACTGTAAAAATAGTCTTTTCCATTTACCAGCTTACAGAGAACTATGCTGGGTATACAATGAACCATTAATGAGAAAGGACCAAAAAGAATTTCTAACATATTATGCAGAATTCATGGGAAGAACAAAAATGACCTGTATATCTGGAAATCTGGAAACTTCTTCACACAAACATGTAAACACTCAAGACACAGAATTAGGATTTCTAATCTTTCCTTTATGTACATTTACAGGCAATTGTACTAAGAGAAAGACTAAGAGGACAATACGACAGTCATGAATATTTCCTTTCTGGACTATTTTAACTTGGTTTACAATTTTTTTAAATGTCTGACTTAAAAAATGGGGCACAAAAACTGCCCAGCTCTTTTCACTTAGCAGATTCATGGCATAAATGTAACTAGTTGAAGCAATCATGTAATAAGAAATCTTAAAGAAATGTGTTCTATTTGGGCACTTTTATACACTGTTGGTAGGAGTATAAATGGCTACAATCACTTGGGTAAGCAATTTGGCAACATGTGGTGAGACCTTTGCAAATATCCATACCCTTTTAACTCAAGAATTCTATTTCTGGAAATCTATTTTAAAGAAATCATCTGAAACATTCACACAAATCTTCTTTCCAGCATTATTTACCATAGTGAAAAATGAAAAACAATCAAACAGGCCCACGGACAGAGAAATTATTTAAAAATTGTGGTACATCCCTAAGATACAGAGTATTATATTTATTTCAGAATATTTACCAAGAATGTCCTTTACTTTTTTCTTTTTGTGATGTAGATTTGTTTCTTAAAGAAATATATATTTATTGTAAAAGAAAATTTAAAACTGAAAAACTGAAATTCTCTCATTCTCTTATACAGGGTGAGGCAAAAGTAGGTTTACAGTTGTGAGTACATGAAATAGTTTATTCTTGTATTATTATGTATTAATTATTGTAGTATTTTCCATATGAGCAACTGTAAACCTACTTTTGCCCCACCCTGTCTTCTATCCCCAACTCCTGAAGTTAACGATTGTTAAGTTCTTACATGTGTATAATTTCTAGAAATTTTCTAGACATATACAAAATTATCTAACAAACATTTACATATTGGTAATCCTTTGTTTTGTTTTTCACACAAGTGGGGCCATAGTAACATTGCTGTTCTTCAACTTGCTTCTTACACTTATTTTAGTTTTTGTTCTACATCAGCACATATAGATCGACTTCTTTCATTTTATTTAATTTATTTATTTTTTTAAATATATCTTTATTGATTTCAGAGAGAGGAAAGGAGAGGGAGAGAGAGAGACAGAAACATCAATGATGAGAGAGTCATTGATCAGGCCTGCAACTGGGCATGTGCCCTCACCGGGAATCGAACCCCGATTGCCTGGATCCAAGGTCGACGCTCAACCGCTGAGCCACGCCCGGCCGGGCATTTTAAATGGATGTCTCAATATATATCAGATCCTGAATTGATAGATATTTAGGTTGAATAGAGTTTTCTTCTTACAAATAATGCTATAACTAACATATTTGGATATATAACTTAATGTACTAATGTGAGTATATCAGTTCCTACAAGTAGAATTTTAACATTTTAGGCATTCAAAGTTACTGCCAAATCACCCACCAAAAATATTGTACTAATGCTCTCCTTCCTACCTCTTCAAACCATTCAAAATACTAGATAATAGCAACTCTTAAATCTCTGCCAATCTGGAACATAAATATTTTAATTTGCATACCTGTAAATATGATTAAGGTTAAACCACTTTTCTACCACAAGGTTCATCTTTTTCTTATAGGTTTGTGAGAGTCTTTGGTACAGTCAAGAAATTAGCCCTTTGTTATGTGTGTTGTAAAAAAATTTTCCAGTTGGTTGTTGTCTTTTAACAGTGCTTATAGTATTTTTTACAGCCTACAAAATTTCTCTGTTCTTCCCAGTAGGGAGCTTGGATTTTATGTATGTTTGAAGGTGCTTCCCATCTCAAATATAAAAGAAATACTCCTTTTGTAATTTCACTTTATAGTTTTCAAAAACTATAAGTTAAAATGCAGATATATAACTACACATTTGGAGCTCAACTAGGTAAAAAAATATATATATTGCAAGGAAATAAATAAAATATTGACAGCGATTACTGCTGAATGGTAGAATTATACATGATTTTCTGAAATTTTCTACAATTCCTTGTATTACTTTTACAACCAATAACTTTATAATCAGCAATCATGCATTATTTTTATAACTAGAAGAAAATAAAATTTCTTGAATTATCATATTTAAACTTTTTCTTAAGTTTTTGATGATATTGACTTATTTTGAGTCTAATACTAAGGCAGAGCTTTGCACTTTCTTTTAACTCTATTGACACAAATGACATGACAGAAAAAAATCTTAAACTGCCAAATAAGGGTCTATTGAAAGCAAGGTTTATGGTTCCATTTGGGAAGTACATTTGAATAGTAATCACAATAATAGTTAGGCTTATTAAGTACTTACTAAGTGCCAAGCTTACATACATTAACTCATTTACTCTTCTTAACATCTTTATAAGATAGGTACTATTATAATCTCCTTTTTACAGACTGGGAAACTAAGGCACAAAGTGGGTAACTTGCTCAAAACTATGAAAGCTATTAAGTAGCAGAGCCAGCATTGGAATTCAAAGGGTCTTTTGGCTCCAGAATCCCCATTCTAAACTTCTAAATGAAAATGGTACTTAAAAGATTAACAAAAAAAGTGGGAAGCTACTACTGCTAACCTAGAAACTGTTAAAGAATGAAACCAAACCACAAAGGGCCTTACATTTATCCAAGAAATTTTTTAAAAAGGAGTCTATGGGAAATATGATATGCCTTTATTATTGTTACTATTTAATATTATTGTTAATAATTTTTACAAATATCTAGCTTCAAAGATTTGAGAAAAAATTTCTTTCCTCCTTCCTTACTCAGGTGGCATCTCTGACCCGAGTCTGAGTTAAGGTTTCCCTAATATAATAGTACATTGCCACAAGATAGTGGTGTTCTAAAGAGTTGGGTAATAACACTTATGTACTTGTCACATAAACTGTTGCCAGCATAAATTTTTTAAAAAACATGTTTTAAAATTGATTTTTAGAGAGAGAAGGAGGGACAGGGAGGAACATTAATTGGCTCCCTCCCTACTGGGAAGAACCCACAACTTGGGTATGTGCCCTGACTGGAAACCGAACTGGCGACCTTTTAGTACATGGGCGATGCTCCACCAACTGAGCCACACAGGCCAGAGGCAGTATAAAATTCTTTTAAGAGTAAAAGCTAAAAGTAGTGGTAGATGCCTATGATTTCCCTGGTTGATATTTTGTTCTTTGCCAAAAGAACTGCTAGAATCTTTTTAAATGTGTATATTTTCTGTCTATAATGCCAAGGGATGTGTCCAAAACATCACCTTCAACATTTTACTTTTCCCCAAAAAGCCAGCTCAATTAAGGCTATATATTTCTGACAAGCCAATTTTTTGTGCTTTGTGTGAAGCTGAAAGTCAAACAAATAAGACACTTTCTAATTCTCCTTGGTTTACAGAATGGGACATAGAGATTTTGACATTTCATTTTCATCATGACTATTGTATGTCAATTTAGCAGACTAGATTAGATGAGGAACTTTTTAGAATGAGTCCTTCTGATTCTGAGCTCTAGCAAGCATTAGTAATAATTTCATGTTTCCTTTTTTAGGCTTTGCCTTTGTCAATATTACTGTCTCAAAGGCCCCTTTAAGTACCTAAGAGACAAAAATATTTTCCATTTGCTTTGTTTTTTAAAAAATAAGGACTAAAAAATGCATACCCAGCCTAAAAAGGTAGGCATAAACATAAAGAAAAGGCATTCAAAGAAATTTCTGTAAATCAACCTTTGTTAGTACTTGTAAACTTTTCTGAGTATAAATGGCAAAATTGGACTAGTAGAATCTCTGAGAAACAGCTTTTAAGTTGGCAGCAATTTTTAGGAAATAACAGAGTTTAACTACAGATGAATGGCCACAGATTGCCAGTGATAAGAGCCACAAGCCTGAAACCTTGGAGCTCTCTACAATCTAATTTTGATGTTATGACTGCTTTTTAAGGATTTACTGTACAAAATTAGCCTCAATTTTCTAATTTTCTAAACTGTAAAGTGAGGAGTAAAATAACTGCTTACTACTGCTATAAAAATCATTATATTCCTATTAGAAACTACTATGACATTTACAAATTGATTGAACAAATGATTACCTTATTATAAAACCTGCTTAGGTTAATTTACAAACATATTATATTTGGGAAAAAACACAAATGTAATGAATGATTAATATCTTTTTTTTTAAATATATCTTTATTAATTTCAGAGAGAGGGAAAGAGAGGGAGAGAGAGAGAAACATCAATGATGAGAGAGTCATTGATCGAGCCCACAACCTGGGCATGTGCCCTTACGGGGAATCGAACCCTGATCACTTGGATCCTAGGTCGAAGCTCAACCGCTGAGCCATGCCCGGCTGGGCAAATGATTAATATCTCTTGATAGTGTATGCTGATAATTTTCAAATAGAGGGATGTGACCCACAGGGAAATAAGAGTAACTCCAAAGAGAAAGTAGAGAACTAGAAGAAAGTCAGGTAAGGGTTACAAAAAAGGGATGAACTGGCCCTTTATTACATGGACTTTTTAATCTCTCATTCTTGCCACTTACTTTCCAGAGATGAAAACAATGAATCTTAGATGAGCAGCTGGTCACTATGGCACCATTAAGAGCTTTATTTTTAGAGGAAGGAAAAATGGGGAGCTATGAGATCCAAGGAAGATAAAAAATGGGTACAAAAAATATTTTCTAGAGATCTGGAATAACAAAATAAAACTTGTACTTACAACTTGAGACTCACGAGCTTTAGGAAACATTTTGGCAACATTGAGCCCATCAATGACAATATCAAAAGGAGGAGAGTGTTTCACAAAGTTCTGAAATCTCTTAAGTTCCTAAAAAAAAAAAAATCAGATAAAACAATAAGGAACGTACTAAGGACTTTATTATAAACATAATGCTATGACTTTTATTATTGTTTTGGTAATTCAAAATATTCATCTTTTAAAAATACACAAACACAAAGATACTTTTAAAATGAAATCTGAAAAAGCCAGCCAAACAGAGGCAACTGCATATACTTATCTGACACACCTTATAATCTCACAGTGCTTCACACTTCACAAAGTACTTTCCCATGCTATTTCATTTAATCTGTAACCAGCTATCTAGTCTGCTACACTGACACACATGACAGTCATGATGAGAATGAAATATGAAATCTCTATGTCCTCCTGTTCTGTAAGCCTAGGGGAAGTAAACCTCAGATATGCCAGTCTACCAGTGCAATTGTGTTAAAGAACAAGGCTCTATAATTTGTAGCTCCTCTTTTGTCATCAAGAGGCTTTTACTTATGGCTGTTTTGAAGAGTTGAAGATTCATCCATTCATTCAACAAATACTTGCTAAGCATCTACCTACATGTGCCTAGCAGTTACCAAAGAGACAAAAAACCCTAACTTAAAGGAACTTGCATTTTAGTGGGAGGAGACACAAAATAAACCAAATAAGTAAGTAAATTATATTAAATGTTAAGTGTGATGCGTGCTATGGAGGAAAGAAATGGAGGAGAGGGAGTTTCATTTCTGGTAATGAAGGACTACCAGATAGTAACATAAATTCTATATAAAAAACAACTATTTAAAGGAACTAGAGAATGACCAAAAGCAGGCAGGAATTGGAGGAAACACATTTGAAAAAAGATCTGGTGCTTTCAAAACAGGTCTGAAAATTCTCTGACATTCCTCCCCACTCAAAAGGTGGATCCTAGCGCAGCAGGCGTGGCTCAGCGGTTGAGCATTGACCTATGATCCAGGAGATCGAGGTTCAATTCCTGGTCAGGGGACATGCCCAGGTTGTGGTCTCCATCCCCAGTACGGGGTGTGCAGGAGGCAGCCAATCAATGACTCTCTCATCACTGATGTTTCTAGCTCTCTCCCCTTCTCTTCCTCTCTCTGAAGTCAATAAAGACATATTAAAAAAAAAAGTGGAGTCTAATTCTCTGCATGTGAATATGAGCTCATCTTTGTGACTGGCTCAATGACAGGAAAATGGCAGAAGTGGTGCGATGTGACTTCTGGGGCTAGGTAATAAAAGGCTATATAGCTTCCATCTGGCTCTCCTCAGGATTCTTGCTCTTGGAACCTAGCCTTCATGAAAAAGCCTAAGTAGAGGCCACATATAGGTGTTCCACCTGACAGTTCAAGTGAGTCCCAGGAAATAGCCAGGAGCAATTATCAGGCCTGTGAGAGTGAGGAGGAGTAACCTCAGCCCCCATTTGATTACAACAGTAGGATACCCAAGCAAGAATCATCCAATAGTCCAGTCAAACCCTAGAACCATGAGAGAGAGTAATAATAGTAATTAATAAATGTTTTTGTTTTATGCTACTACATTTGGGATAGTTTATCTACCCATAGAAAATCAGAAAAGAAGGACACAGCACAAGGTGAAATTTGTCTGTACATGGCTTTCTGCCAGAGTCAGCAATGGTTGGCAGGGGCAGAAAGAAATCAAACAGAAAGATGCAGACTTACTGGTTTCAGAAATCAGAAGACAGAGTTCAAGGCTGCCAGAGAGCTAAAAAGTGAGAGACGGAATGCTAGAAAGAAGGAGATGGAATGCTAGAAAGGAGGAAACAGCAAAAATCTGTGTGTAAATCCACCCCAATCCTTGACTAACCCTTGATTTGTACATGCATGAAGAAGACTCCAAAGAGCCCAGCAAAAAAACAACAGATAGAAAGACTTGTAAGACCTTGGCAAAGATTTCAGCTAGTATCCACTGCAAGGGAGAAAGAGTCTATAGTCAAAATAAGTCTAACCATCCTGCTAAAGCAAAAAAATCAATAATCTCCAGAGGACAATAATAGAATCCAGAGCCTTTGCAATATGTCTGTCATAATGTCCATACACAGTTAAAAAATTAATACGAGAAGAAACAGGAAAATGTGACTCAGAGTCAAGAGAAAAGAAAGTCAATAAAAATCAATGTAGCCCTAGCCAGTTTGGCTCAGTGGTTAGAGCATTGGACTGTGGACTGATGGGTCCCCGGTTGGATTCCAGCCAAGGGCATGTGCCTCGGTTGCAGGCTAACCAATCGATGTCTCTCCCATCAATGTTTCTCTCTCTCCCTTCCACTCTCTCTGAAAAGCAATGGAAAAAATAGCCTTTAGTGAGGATTTAAATAAATAAATAAAACTATTAAAAAAAAAAAAAAAAAAAAGAAATCAATCTATGGTCCAGATGCTGGATTTAGCAGGCAAGAACTTTAAAGTAACTATTGTGAATACATTCAAGAATTTAAAGGAAAATATAGTTATAATGAATGCAAAGAAGGGAAAACATAGACAAATACAGAGAGTCCTTGCCTTACAATTTTTCAACTTCATGATGGTATGAAAGAAATATGCATTTAGGCCTGGCTGGTGTGGCTTAGTGGTTGAGCGTGGACCTATGAACCAGGAAGTCACAGTCTGATTCCCAGTCAGGGCACATGCCCAGGTTGAAGCTTGATCCCCAGTAGGGAGGGTGCAGGAGGCAGCCAATCAATGACTCTCTCTCATCACTGATGTTTCTATCTCTCTCGCTCGCTCCCTTTCTCTCCCTGAAATCAATAAAAACATATTTAAAAAAAAAGAAATAAGCATTCAATAGAAACCATACTCTAATTTTGAATTTTGACCTTTTCCCGGGCTAGCAATATGTGGTATGATACTCTCTCGTGATGCTGGGCAGTAACAGTGAGTCAAAGCTCCCAGTCAGGCATGTGATCACCAGGGTAAACATATTGTAAACTATACTGTATTGCCAGAATTTTCTTTGGCATTGTGTTCTGAGTACCTTTAAGGTAAAGTAGGCAAGCTATGAAGTTCAGTAGGTTAGGTGTATTAAACGTATTTTTGACTTACAATATTTTCAGTTTATGATGGGTTTATCTGGACGTAACCCCACTGTAAGCTGAGAAGCATCCGCAGAAACTATAAAAACATTCTAGAACCAAAAAGCACAAATACGAGATAAAATATTCACAGGCTGGACTTAGCAGATTGGAGATGGCAGAAGTAAAAGTCAGTGAACACAAATGACAGAGCAATAGAAGTGATTCAATATGAAGGGGAAAAAAGGTGGAAAGTAAAAGATGAACTGAGCCTCAGTAACCTGTGGAACAATGTCAAACAGATAAACATATATAATTAGACTCCAGAAGGAAAGAATAGAAAGGAGAAGGTAGAAAAAAATGTATGAATAATGGCTAAAATTTCCCAAAATTTGATGAAAAACATAATTTAGAGACCCAAGAAGCAGAGCAAATTAAAAGCAGGATAAATACAAAGAAAACCATAACTAGGCACATCATAGTAAGACTGCTGGAAAGCAAAGATAAAGAGAAAATCTTAAAAGCAGCCAGAAAAATGATACATTACATGTAAGATGATGATACAAATGGCAGTTCAATTCCCATCAGACAATGAGGCCAGAAGACGAGGGGATGTCTTTAAAGTGATGACAGAAAACAAAAAACTCTGTCAACCTGGACTTCTATATCCAGCAAAAATCCTTCAAGCACTGAGGTAAAAAAGTAAGGTGAAATAGAAATTTTCAAGTAAATGAATTCATCACCAGCAAGCCTGCATCATAAGAAATGCTAAAGCTATTCCTTCAGGATGAAGGGAAATAACATCAGATGGAAACCTAGATGTAAAAGAAGAAATGAAAAACATCAGATAAAACCCATATAATTTTGTTAACCAGTGCTATCCCAATAAACTCAATAAAAAGGGGGGAAAAAGAAAAACATCAGAAATGGTACACATATGGGTAATTATAAAAAAGAATATTTTTCTTCTTTTAATTTCTTTAAAAGATATGACAGGTTAAAGCAAAAATTATCATAATAATGTACTATAAGGCTTAAGACATATGCAAATGTGTTATGTATGACAATAATAGCATAAAAACCAGGAAGTGGTAAATGTAATGCTACTGCTATTAAGATTCCTACATTTTACCTGAAATGGTAAAAACTAAACTCTAGGCAGACTGGATTAAGTTAAAGATTCATACTGTAATCCCAAGTCATACATTAAAAAGTAATGCAGAAAAGGTATAAACAAAAATTCAGCAGAATTAAAATACTAAAAATATTCGGATTACCTCCCTCCAAACACACACAAAAAAGATTGGATAAATAGAAAACAAAGAGCAAAATATTTAAATTTAACACTATTAAAAATGCTGTTTATAATAGATGTACTTTTAAATATAAAGGTAGATAAGCTGAAAGTGAAAAGCAGGGAGAAAATATATATCAGTAAGCTTAAGAAAGCTGGAGTGGCAACATTCATGTTAGACAAACTAGGCTTCAAGAAAAGGAGTATCACAAAAAAATAAAAGTGGATACTTAATAATGACAAGATCAATATACTAGTAAGTATGCTTATATATAAGAACAAATCTTTGAAATACATGAAGCAAAACTTGACAGAACTAAGGAGGAAGAAATAAGTCTATAATTATAGATGGAGATTTCAACACTTTCTCTCCATAACGATAGAACAAGTAGATAAAAATCAGTTAAGGGTAGAGAAGACATAAGCTACACTAATAACTACTTTGAATTGATTGCTATCTGAGGGATTCTAGACCCAACAATAGCAGAATATATATTCTTTTCTAGTACACATGGAACACCAAGACACACACAACCTCTAGGCCATAAAATAAGTCTCAAATATTTCAAAATATTAAAATCTGAAAGAATATGTTTGCTAATCATGCACATAAATCAGAAACCAATAGCAGAAAAATATCTATAAATGTCCTAAATACTTCTAAATTATACTTCTAAATAACCCATGGGTCAAAAAAGTTACACAGAAAATTAGAAAATATTTA